ATCAATCACTGAGATTCAACAACAGCGCAACAGATGGGCAGAGTACTTCGAGGAACTCCTGAACAGACCGGCTCCAATGAATCCGCCGGACATCGAAGCAGCACACACAGATCTTCCTATAAATGTCAATCCACCGACGACCGAAGAAATCAGAATGGCCGTCAGACAAATCAAGAGCGGGAAAGCAGCAGGACCTGACAATATACCAGCTGAAGCGTTGAAGTCAGACATCGAAGTGACGACAAATATGCTTCATCTTCTATTCAAGAAGATTTGGGAGGAGGAACAAGTGCCGATGAACTAGAAACAAGGACACCTCATCAAGATTCCAAAGAAAGGAGATCTGAGCAAGTGTGAAAACTACAGAGGCATTACACTACTGTCAATACCGGGTAAAGTCTTCAACAGAGTGTTACTGAACAGGATGAAAGACGCAGTTGACGCTCAACTTCGAGATCAACAAGCTGGATTCCGTAAGGACCGGTCGTGCACAGACCAGAATGCGACACTACGGATCATCGTCGAACAATCAGTTGAGTGAAACTCGTCACTCTACATCAACTTCATTGATTATGAGAAGGCATTTGACAGTGTAGATAGGAGAACGTTATGGAAACTTCTTCGACACTACGGAGTTCCTGAGAAGATTGTCAACATTATCCGGAACTCATACGACGGACTACAGTGCAAAGTAGTGCATGGAGGACAGCTGACTGACGCATTCCAAGTAAGGACCGGAGTAAGACAAGGCTGTCTACTCTCTCCTTTCCTGTTTCTTCTGGTGGTCGACTGGATTATGAAGACCTCAACATCTGAGGGAAACTACGGCATACGATGGACAGCTCAGAACCAATTAGACGACTTGGACTTCGCAGATGACCTAGCCCTCCTATCACATACACACGAACAAATGCAGATAAAGACAGCCAGCATAGCAGCAGTCTCTGCATCAGTAGGCCTCAACATACACAAAGGGAAAACCAAGGTCCTCAAACACAACACGGAGAACAGCAATCCAATCACTCTTGATGGCGAAACTCTGGAAGACGTGGAATCCTTCACATACCTGGGAAGCATCGTCGATAAACAAGGAGGTTCAGATGCAGACGTCAAGGCGATGATTGGCAAAGCTAGAGCGGCATTCCTTCAACTGAAGAACATATGGAACTCAAAACAACTTTCAACCAATATCAAAGTCAGAATCTTCAATACCAACGTCAAGGCAGTTCTACTGTACGGAGCTGAAACTTGGAGAACTAAAACAACCACCATCAAGAAGGTACAGGTATTTATTAATAGCTGTCTACGCATGATACTCAACATCCATTGGCCGGATACCATCAGCAACAGCCTTTTGTGGGAGAGAACCAACCAGCTTCCAGCTGAAGAGGAAATTAGGAAAAGACGATGGAGTTGGTGGATAGGACATACATTGAGGAAATCATCAAACTGCATTACGAGACAAGCGCTAACTTGGAATCCTGAAGGGAAGCGGAAAAGAGGAAGGCCAAAGAACACATTAAATCGGGAAATAGAACCAGATCTGAGAAGGATGAATAACAACTGGAAAGAGCTGGAAATGATTACCCAGGAAAGAGTTAGATGGAGAATGCTGGTGAGCGACCTATGCTACTTCATGAGGAGTTACTGGCGTCAGTAAGTAAGTACTACTACCACCAATACTAATACTGCTACCATTATTGTCATCATGCTTGAACCCTTTTACTAGGTGTTTATTCCCTTTTTCTCTCTTTTTTCTATCTAAATAAATATTATTCTTAAGATTACGAAGTTTGTAATTAAAACAATAACTTGTATTACACTTAAATTAACTTCTCAGACTCGTTTTATCTTCACTATACATATATGGCTCATACGTATTGATATCTCGTTATCCTTTTCACTTAATTGAGACTCTCATAGCATCACTCCAAACTATGACTGCACAAACACTTAACCTAGCGTCATATCTTACTACATTGAGAAGTTTTTTTCCTCTATTATTTTCTATTTTATTTTTGTTACTAATTTGACGATACATACACAGTCGTTTATTCTTGTTCTGTGTTCATAAACACGTTCATAAAACTATTTGAATATCTCACGTCTCCGTTATTTCTATTCCCTTATTTTCTTCCTTTCCTTCTTTAAACTCAATTCAATATTCTTCTCAATTACATAAAACCTGATTTATTATTATTATTCTATTATTACTACTCTCTTTTCTTAAATATCGCAAATGAAATGCTAACATTATTGAAACTTGTGTATTATTGCATTTTTGAAGAAGCCCGAAATGGCTTCTTCACAACACTTATGTACCCATAAGATGTTTGTGAATAATAATAGTAATAATAATAATACTGTGGTGTGTGCTACTTGTGTAGAAATAAGTAGTATATGACGCGAGTTAGTAACGTAATGTCTGGCAGCAGAAGATGGGGGAAAATCAAGAAAGAAAAAGCGGGAACACAGTGGAATTTATATGGAAACTCATGAACAATTAAAGGACAGACAATGCATTAATGTTTGCAACAGGAACAGTCAAGTTTGGTATGATGGATTGTTATTTTGCAAAATAACGATTCACTATATGGTTGTTATATTTTAATAACTAGTTCTTTAATTTGTTGTCAAATACATTCGATTGTCCCCACTGGTGTTTTTGTTCACTACACTACTACTACTACAAATTTTCTAAAAAGTAAAGCAATGATATTTTTAGTGGAATTTTAAAAAATTCTGACAATATCAACTTACTCGAGTTGTTGTTCCACATCTATTTATATTCAAAGTGCATTGGTCGATTGTATAATCTTTCAAATCATATTCGAAAAATAAAGTGAAAAAGAATTGAAGAAAATAAATTATTTGCAAAGTATCATACTACTTATTATATATTTGAAAATGATTTTTATTGGGAACTTACTCCATCTGATAAACTGATGGACAGAATGATATTATGACCCGAATTTTTTGAAGTTATAAATGTATTACACTGGGTGATAATTCAATGATTTAAAGTGGACAGCAAATTTCTAAGGTGAACTAAAATGTTCAAGAATCTGTCTATGAAGAGGTTATAAGTTTGTGCTTCTGAAGATTTCATGGATTGTTGCTTTACCTATAAGTTCCTTAGCTGTGAAGAATGCTTTTCGCACGGTATCCAAACTTATGGATTTCTCATTTCCACGAAGTTGGCCAGTTAAAGCTTTCATAAGGGACGCGCAGTTCGGTATGAACCGTCCATGTAAACTTACAAGGCCGTTAAATGTGCGTGATCGCTCAGCGGTGGACGGTTCCGGGTAATCCAGAATGGCCGCTACTTTGCTTCTAGTAGGTCGGATGCCTTGCGCATCAATAGTATCCTGGGAAATCTAAGGACTCCGTTCCTATTCGGCATTTCTGAATGTTTATAGCAATGCCATGTTTTTACAGTCGTTCGAAAACAAAATCCGGATGCTGGATATGGGATTCTCTTTACGTACTTCCTATCAAGCAGTCATCAACATACAAATGTAGGAATCTAGACCTCAAAAACGTCATCTATGATGCTTTGGAATGTTTGTGCAGCATTTCTTAGGCCGAAAGGCATGCGAAAAAATCCGCAAAGACCGAAAGGAGTAATGATTGCGGTTTTTGGAATGTCTTCAGTGGCCATGGTGATTTAGTTATAAGCTTTAACCAAGTCACTTTTTGAAAAGACAGTTGTATCTTTCAAGATAGCCGTCAAGTCGTGAATGTAGGGCAATCGGTAACGATCGGAAATGGATTTGCATTCAATCGCCGATAGTCACCAGTTGGACGCCAATAGTTGCTGTCCTTTATGAGGACCATGTGCAACGGAGATGCCCATAGGCTGGTTGTCGGTCGAATGATTCCTAACTCTATCATGTGATCGAATTCGTTTTTGGCCAACCTCAGCATTTCGGCAGCCGGTTGGCGCGCTTTCGAGAATACAGGTTGTCCTGTAGTCGTTATGTGATGTGTAACATTGCTGGTTGCACACGGCGATTTGGGTTGGGGTTGGTGTATCCCAGAATATTTGTTGAGTAGTGGTTGATAGGACGGGTTTATCGTGTGCCTAAGCGTGATAGGAAGAACGCTAACTTCTGCGCCAGTACCAACGAGGTTGAGAACTCTCGTTATCACCTCTGTGACGTATAACAGATGGCTATGGTTGACGGTCATGGTTGCAGGAGTTTCATAACACTTTAAGCAATTAAACCCAATATTAATCGTACCTATCAAGTGAAATCAAAAGCGGGGAGTTTCGAAGATATGTTCGTTAGGCTACAAATATATCGTGGATCGACTGATCTAAACTGGCTAGCCATAGCAACGGATGTTGAGCACGGTGTTCTGGTTCGGATGCGTGGCCGAGCGCCATCAGCTAGGTGAGTCCATTAAAACTAATGTGGTCAGCATACAATATCCAAGACTTACAGAGTTATTGATTTTGGGGATTGAATTACCGCTACAACCTGCACAAGGTTAGCTCCAAAACAAATCTAGGAGGTAATACCCGAAGACTAGAGACACAACATAGCGGAACGGATTGTAGTCACAATATCTACTCTTTTGAGATGGTGGAGAATATTTGTAGCTCAGGTGGATGATTTTGATGGAGTTTTGTTCTCAAAACTTTCGAAAGAACAACTGCTTTAAATTCCTTAAGAGTTGTCAAGTGCTTAGCTAGTTTAAGCGAATTCCCAGGGGTCCCTTAAGAAGCAAGTCAACCTATTCTTAAGGACTAAGGATAGTATCTTACTATGATTTACAAATTTCGTCTTCTATTATCGCTAATATACCTAGATTCCTGCCTGGAGGTATTGGCGATCCATTGCTATTAGACACAGACACCCGTTAAGGGGAAGTCTCTTCTATTCCGTCCACAACCATTTAAGTCATTTGAACCCCAGATCGTATTTTGGCCATTGAATTGACCTTTAAAGTTTTACTGCATACACCTGAGTGTCCACATTTATGAATTATTTGACATGTTGACACTTTTAGTTTTCGCTGCCGTCTGTTTGGATAGCATTTTTGGAGACGGCTCGTCTATAAAAAAGGAATTTTCTGTCCAACCAGGTGGTAAAAAGTACTCATTGACAATTGAAAGGGTATGGTATTTACATATACAAAGAAACAATACATTTGACAACAGGATGGAATAAAATGTACTTTCACTTATGAATGTCAAGGTGGAACGAACGAGGTAATTTAGGTTCTCTTGATATTTTCCGTAGAAATGGCATATGATTCTTTCAAAGATTCGAGATGATAACGGCTACGGTTGTGTTGTAGAACGTTCTGGTAGCCAAACAAGTTACATATTCTTCCAAAGCTTCAAGCTAGATGTAACGCCGCCTGTTGAAGCTTTGGCTGCTTCTGCATTTGTAAGTTACCCGGATTAAAGTACTATTCTCAAGGGTAACAATAATCAACCGCTGTCAGCTGAGGAATACTATTTTAACAAAAATGAATGTTTTGGTAGGTCCTGTTTATACATAATTCTGTATAGTATCACATGTCGGTGGAAAATTCAAGGCTGCATTAACTCGTCTTTCCCTGGAGTTCGTTTCCACACATATGAAGCCAGAACTCTAACATGATTCGTTTACGGAAGCTATTTCTACTATTTTCTGTGCCTTTTTGGTCATACAGCTTTGTATATTACCACGATCTTATTCCAGACCATGTACATTTTTACTTGTGATTTTATAGTCTGAATTTATTATAACAATAAGAGGTTTTTTGTTTTGAATTACTCTCGAAGTTTTCACAAGGAAATCCAAAATTATTAATAGATAAAAATTTCTAGTAGTAAGGTTTATCCATGCATACTCTTAGAACCAGACTGACAAAACATTGAATTTAATCAAGACCTTAACCAGTTTGTGTAAGCCAATACTATTTGAATATGACTGAAATGAAGTGGTTTCTTTTAACCGTTCAGAATGTACAAAACAGATATTGGTTTATTTTAGGGTCAAATATAAGTGACATAGTTACTCAGAGGTTAAGTGGTCGAATATCTTACATTGATGACTTTAGTAAAGACACCCACAGTAGATCAAGGTGAATTTATCAATCTGGAAATACGGTTGTAGTTTGTTCTATTTCTCAGTAGGGTATTGAATGATGTTTAAACCAATTCAGCTTAATGTACTGCTGTTTAAGATTATTTTAATATGAACAATAGTTTGGTTTAGCTTGAGAATATTAACACTTACCAACGAAAATGATTTGGACAAATGTTACTGACGTGTAACCACTATGTAGCGTTATGTGCAATAACGGTTGATGCAGAGTTATGTTGGATAAAAAGCTGTGGGTGGACAAATTTAAATATGATAAGTCTATGGGGTCACTAACTGTTTGTCAGTTCCGATTGTGGATGCTTCCTATCCCGTGCATCATGTTGATATCTCATTATGATGTGAGGTTTGGTTCCTTAGATCTACAGTATCTCGTGCCAAATCCCACAGGGATAAAGTTAACCTGATAAATTATTAACCAAAACGATTCTAATCCAATCATTCGTTTGCGATTTTGAATTTTGTTTCACTTTATTTCGGTCACACAGAATAGCCATGTAACATTGACCAGTTTGTCGAAAGCTCTGACAAAATACATGAACGTAGTCATATTTGAGATGTGCTTCTCTCTCTAATGCAGGGTGCCTCTTCATGACTGATCTGGGCTTAAATCCGTGATGGGGACGATGTAGTTCAGGTCGTCTACTGGCCTACGTATCTTGGAAGTCTCATTGACTGAGATGATTGGGCCACGTGTTACGTATGCCTGAACACCGATTACCATGGAGCGCAATGCTAACTGGTGTTGGGGATGATTGGAAGAAAGTTAGGGGCGACCAAACCAAGATGTGGAATCCGTTCTTGAAGTCAATAACGTCTGGTTTGAGCCATGTTGGTAGATGCAGACTACTTAGTTGGAGTCCGTGTGACTATCGCAACTAATGATTGGAGACTGTGTGACATGGCTCGGAATCGACCACAATGGTGTAGGTGCGTACACACTTTGTCTTTCCTTAAACTGTGAGATTAAAATTGCTTTATACCTTTCTTTCTAACAACTAATACTTTCTTCTTGTATTATATCCTTATACATAGTCTTTCTTTTATATATTACTACCACTGAAGTGACTACTTCTATGAATTTGGTGTTCATCTTGTTGTGCTAATGAGGTATGGTAACTTTGACCGATGCATATATGTGCCTGGTCCTATGTTGCAGATGACTGAGATCATCCCAGGTGGGTTAGTGAAGTCTGGGTGCGTACTCAGAGACTCGGTTGGCTTTGTCTACTCGCATCTTTTAGGACATAGATATGAAGACTGTTCGATAATTAGTGGACGAGTATAGGGTGCAGCATTTCTCCTTGTTTCTAATTGTGGCTTTGAAGCATGGAATTTACAACTAAGAGATATTCGTAAGTCACTAGTGTTTGGTCATTGGCTGTTCCAAAGCATGCTAGAACCACCGAGTCAGCGATACTGGGGCTCGACCCCAGGCACCATGTAAGTATGGCAAGTCAGTTGTGAACCTTCGTCGACTAAGGTAATTAGGACATGTGTTACGTCTGCCAACCAGCGGGCTCGTATAGTAAGGATCAGTCTTTTATTTTATGACTGAAACATGGTCTATACAAATAGAAGACATGCTTAGGCTGAGAGATTTTGATCATGGCTGACTCTGGAGCATTGTTCTAGTTTCGTGGAACGGACGAGTGAGCAGTGTTGAAGTTAGGCATAGGTGGCAGATCAACTGATGAGGTAACTAATCTTGATCGACTGAGGTGGTTTGTATGCCTAACTATTGCTTACCACGACGAACCATGTTTGCTAATCCAGAAGTAGCAAGGAGGAAAGTTGCAGACGAACAAACCAAAACGTGGCATAAGTTCATGAAGTGATTAACTGTTGGTCCGTGTCGTGTTAGTAGACGTAGACTACGTCGTCGGGGTTCGCGCAACTATCATAACGAATACTTATGACTTGATTCTATTGTACACATAGATTGGCTAAACTGTGATGGTTCTTCATGTAATGGTAACATGTACGCCTAATAATTTCTGATATTACTGATACTCCTGTTATATCCCGACGAGAGTAATGAATGGTCACTGTTGGGATGTATTTATAGAATAATACTATACATATATTCTTATTGTGAAATCGTTAAGTAACTACATTATACACATTCATGTTCCTCTTATTATAAGCTTTATTTTGACCTATAGAATGTTATTATACGATTTACTATTCCTAAGTTATGTCCAGTTTATTGGTTACAGTCACCATTTGACTTGATCTCGTATATATGTTATTTCCTATTTTATGATATGACATGGTCTGTCTGGCTTTTATATAAACCAGGTATGTTTGAGATAAATAATTCACATAGTTAAAGCTGGTATTGGTTTTCTGGACTCAACTGACAGGGCTACGAGGGAAAAGGACGCTAGACTATTTATAGAGGAGGATATGTCATGGTTTTTTAAACAGTGCTAAGATTGTATAAGTAGTATTCCGATTGGTGAATAAGTCACATAATATTTACCTGGCTAAAAATACAACAACTACTATTACTCACGTTACTTTGACATCTCTCTGTGCTGGTGGTTTGACAACTTGGACTAACACACGGATGTTCCAGGTTTTACGTTTCACATGACTTCGTTCAGTCACGTAGTACTCGTAGCCCTCACATATTCACTGAGTTACTACTAGAACCAAGTTTGCCTGTTTGGAGTTACTTTGTCCGGGAGTTTCGTTAGAAGTGGCCTCTTAGATATACATATCTTAACAGTGTCAGTTTGTTCTGTACTTGAACTTATGGTATAGCGACATGGGTTAGCGAAAATATTTTGGTATTGAGATTTCCACCGAAATGATCACCATCTACAAAATCAATCATGGAGACCAGTAAACGAATATTCTTACTGTACACAGAGAACGTTTCACAGATATAGACCAAGCTGTTAAGATCCTTAGAAGTAGATGTATCACAAAACTTCACTAAAATATTATGCAAAATCAAAGGGTAATAACAAATGAGGACATACAAAGTGTCATGTTAGAAGACAAACTGCAGAAATTGCTAAGAATATTACATTGGGAAAAGAGATCTTCTGAAGTAACAAATGGCTACCAAACGACATCTTTGGTTTTGTTAACAAGTGTAGACAACTATGGATATGAATGCGACTGAAGAAGAGTTAGGATATTTTAAACAGAGACGATCCATAGAAAACCAGTTCATTAGTATTATGATATTGAAAAATCAATAGGCACGTTGGAATAGACCCGATAACCAAAAGAAAGAATGACACAAAGTCACGATTAGGAAGGAAACTAATCAGAATAAATGTGTAGATAATGATAAGTTAACAGTAGACGATAACCAATTAACGCAACTTGTTAGCTATTAGTAAACATGTCTTAATAGTACGTTTTTTTCTGTTCTTGTTGATATTGTTGACCTTAAGATAATTCAAGTCTCACAATAAGACCATTTATCGTAGAGAATGTAGAACTTTCAAAATAGTTTATTCTGAACATAAAAAGATGTCAGTCAGGCATCTGCGACATAGGACCAGGCACATATATGCATCGGTCAAAGTTACCATACCTCATTAGCACAACAAGATGAACACCAAATTCATAGAAGTAGTCACTTCAGTGGTAGTAATATATAAAAGAAAGACTATGTATAAAGATATAATACAAGAAGAAAGTATTAGTTGTTAGAAAGAAAGGTATAAAGCAATTTTAATCCCACAGTTTAAGGAAAGACAAAGTGTGTACGCACCTACACCATTGTGGTCGATTCCGAGCCATGTCACACAGTCTCCAATCATTAGTTACGATAGTCACACGGACTCCAACTAAGTAGTCTGCATCTACCAACATGGCTCAAACCAGACGTTATTGACTTCAAGGGCTGATGCCACGTTTTGGTTTGGCCGCCCCACATAAAAACATGGTTGATTAAATACCAGTACCATTATCTGATTTCATAATTTCAAGTAAGCTTACTATATTAATTCATACGACGTTGATAATTCGTTAAATAACTGCTTAGAGGAACTTTTGCCCCATTGCACTATTACTGTCCGATTTGGATGAAAAAAATTTATAGACGAGAAATAAAATGATTGTTTGGTTCACTTTAAGTGGATCATTTTATCCCTGATTCGGGGATACTTATAGTACATTAATAGGGATATTTACTATTGACATCACCTCATGGGACTGAAAAGTTCTTTAATTTACAAATGTAGAACTTGTTAAGAAATCTAGCGTAAAGAAATAGGTCCACTAACTTAGGTCTTTTTGGATTTTGCGGAACTTTCAACGCTAAATTGAAAGTTCGATCGTTACGTAGATCACTTTGTACAGCACTATTGGATACTATTGAATAAAGTTTGATTTATCTCTCGTTATCATTAACTTGAAGTGAAATATCTTAAGCTGTGTGATGAGGGTTAGAACTCCACAGGGAGCATCAATTTCATCAAGATTTCGGGTGCTTTTTGATACGAGTGTCAATTAGCATAAAACATAGGCCTACGGTTCCCTGTCGACTACTTTCAACCTAACGTCAAACGTATCGTCCATTCAAAACGTGAATTTGGCCCCCAAAGTCACATATTCCAATTTTTACAATCGGTTGATTTTGAGCATATGTTTTTTTCCACAAAATAATTCATATTCTTCTATCACCGAAATTCCGGTAATCTTGTGACTTATCCATCTGAATCGTGAGGATTTTGATCAGTAGAAGACTTCAAATGCTCATTGCATAAATCAATGCATTATTCAACCTGTATAACTACGAAAATAACTAGTTTGGTTACCGAAGGTCAGTTATAGGCAGTATAGAGTCTAGCACATACATGGATCGGTTAGCGCTGTCACATTATATAACTCGAATGCTGTTAGAGTTATATAGGGGGTTGTCACTTTCCGGTTCACCGCACCATGGGGAGGTAATTCTTTGGGTATATGAAAAATAAATTGGGTTATTAGTAGCCTTAATTATTTGACGCTGAGGTGACAATAGAGTTCAGGAGATAACTCCTTGAGGTAGATCACAAATAGCCTTTTATGAATCGCTCTAGGTGAGTTAGCGCCGTACTTTAAAGGCCTTATCTGCGGAAACAGAAATCCATGGTCAAAGCTGGTGTTATTTTTACGGATGACCTTTTATAACCCTATTTTTCCGCTTTCAAGTGATTATGTCACAGAAAATGCTGGATTCCTCAGGGAGACAACTCACTGCGTTCAAACACTATTACAGTCAATCGTACGACTGAGACCTCGGACCTTAATTAGCTACTTTTAGCCTAACGATTCTCTAACCAACCTGCATGGGATAGTTAAACCTAAATAGACAAATGTTCCATCTAATTTAATGCCACTGAGTCATCAAAATTTTCAAACCTGGTCAACAGTCAAAGTAACACCCGTGATTGGTCATTGGAGAGAACATTTTATGACCGTTTGATATTGATAGTATCTTTTTACAAAACTACGATGAAGATCGCTGTTTAGCAACTGTGTTGACCGATTGCTTATTTTTGCAACAAACAGGGTCAGTCACTGAAATCCACCCAACCACTTAGGTGTCGACCAAACGTCAATCATATCGTTTATTTCTACAGAACGGGCATATCATTTTAACTGTGCAGACGTTATGAAGTACCGACTGATGTCAAGACAAACTATGGTATCATAAACATTAATTTTGTCAAACTGTGTACGTTTTATATATTTTTATTATTTTTTCGTTGTTACTCAGTCAAATCACAGAATATTTAAGTGACCTTAACTAACAGGTTTTATTGCGAGCCGCTGTTCAGGGTAAGAATGAAATAACTAGACGAAAAGGATGGGTGAAATTCTAGTTTCACAGTTGGAATAAATAGACACGTTTCAATCAAAAATTATGACCTACTTATCACTATTATTTAGGTCACAATCTATTTGATTCGAAAAGTTGTTAGTTGGCATATAGTGATAAACAGGATAGTGATTCTAGCAGGTATTTAGGGGTGAACAACAAAGAAAAACCTCTTGATTTTGAAGAATGTCTAGACGCTTGTGACACAGAAAAATGACGAGCGATAATATATAAGCCATGCAATCCGCACTTAGTCAGTTGGCAATCAATGTCCGTAGTTACGGTATGTGCTTCGCACCTTCAAAGTGCAAAGTACTTCGACAAGACTCTGGTCCTGCACTCACCCTGGATGGTGAGCAGATAGAAGTAGTCGAGAAGTTCGTGTATCTAGGTAACTGCATAAGTGCTAGTGGTGGCGTTCTACGTTGTATGTGATTGATTAAGTGATAGTACGCATTATTTTGTACCAAATACATTTTCATCATAAATTTATGGACAAATGTTTGGTGTGTGCTTACTTTAACACCGACCATCTAAAATACAAAGTACAAAACAAATTCTATAATCCTAGTTAAAGTGAATAGTTACAAAATAAAGTTTAGATGTACTTTATGACATTTGTATATAAGGTTTTTCCTAACTGCTACTTAAGGTAATTTAAGTTAAATAAACAAATAAATGGTATAATCACTTTCTTATGACCAGAATATACTTAAGATATTGATCAATGGTGACGATCACCCACTATTTACAAGTGGCTGGCTACTGAGTAATTACTGAAATCCAAACCAACCAACGCATTAGTCCATGAAGCCATTGACTATTCAGTCAGCTGCAACGTAGGACCAGGCACATATATGCATCGGTCAAAGTTACCATACCTCATTAGCACAACAAGATGAACACCAAATTCATAGAAGTAGTCACTTCAGTGGTAGTAATATATAAAAGAAAGACTATGTATAAGGATATGATACAAGAAGAAAGTATTAGTCGTTAGAAAGAAAGGTATAAAGCAATTTTAATCTCACAGTTTAAGAAAAGACAAAGTGTGTACGCACCTACACCATTGTGGTCGATTCCGAGCCATGTCACACAGTCTCCAATCATTAGTTACGATAGTCACACGGACTCCAACTAAGTAGTCTGCATCTACCAACATGGCTCAAACTAGACGTTATTGACTTCAAGAACGGATTCCACATCTTGGTTTGGTCGCCCGTAACTTTCTTCCAATCATCCCCAACACTAGTCAGCATTGCGCGTCGCGGTAATCGGTGTTCAGGCATACGTAACACGTGGCCCAACCAACTCAGTCAATGAAGATTTACAACCTCATCGACTGATTTACCATCAGTTCCTAATACCCAGAATCTAACCTCACTATTACTTACCCGGTGATCCCAGCAGACACAAGCAATATTTCTAAGGCACCTGTGATCAAATACTAGTAACTTACGAGTATCTTCTGCCCTCAATGACCGTTTTACAGTTGTAAAGTAGAACAAAACAAACTGCCGCGCAGTATAATCGTGCCTTAATTGATAGACAGATATCTCGCCTTCGCCATAGGTGACGTAAGTTGGCAAAAGTCAAACGAGCTTTTTGAATCCGTGCTGAAATTTCGTCAAACACCAACCCATTAGGACTGATCAGACTTCCAAGATAAGTGAAGTTGTCAACGATTTCGACTACTTCACTCCCGATCGTTAGTTCAGGTATTGACGCAGACCAGTCCTGGAGCAACAACTTGCATTTGGAAGAAAAGAAACACACCCCAAAACGTCCTGGCATTGTTACTGAATGCTACCAAAAGACTGCATTTTATCAGCGTTTTCACTAAATAGGGCTACGCCATCTGCGTATTCTGAGTCGACAAGTGGACCTCATGGAAAGAGATCAATTACTGAAAATTCAGTCGACAAGAAAGTTATTTCCATCAGTAGGTCTATGATGAATTTGAACAAAAATGGAGGTAGTGAACAGTTTGGCCGCACGCCACATGGGGTTGCAAAATCAGATGACAGTTCATCATATGCTCTGACTCGACTAGTAGTGGTCGAGCAAGGAGCCTTCATAAGGTTTATCTACTCCAATGGCTCAGTTGCATTCATTCTTTATTTCTCTTTAGATCGGACTTTAGCACTATATTCTACCTTTTATCCCGAGAATTCATCTTTTATTCTCGAGTCCTATTGCCTATGCCTACATTTTTTTTACTACCACATATACTTTTAAAACTTGTACCTCTCTAGGATGTCTTGATAATTTCATTTCACTATGGTGATATGATGTGTGAAATTGAACCAGGTTCTACGTTGCTAACGTCTAAATATTTCATTGATCATTTTTCTGAATAGAAGAAACTATACACTGAAATATGTAAAAGAATATTTACTTATTACCATTTTTATTAATAAATCAAAGCAAAATTAAGGTAATGAAAGTCAGTAAAAAATATATAAATAATCATATAAATGCAATCAATTAAAATGTTTATAAAAGTCTACAATGAAAAATGCAGGAGAATACTTATTATTTTGCTATTAAACCAAGGTAAAATAATTTATTTATTTATTTATTTTAACACATAAGTATAGGTACAGGGAGGCACCAAATACATATGCTCCACACAAATCTCAATTGATTTGTGTGAGGGCTGTGATACTGTCCGGGTGCCCAAACCGAAGCAGGAAAACATAAAGATAAAATCAATTATTTCAACCCAGTCAAATCAAACTATCTATGAATTTGTTCATTTCAATAAATCAAAACTTGGATTAAAATGAATTTATTTGGAAACACATTTTCATTAAGCTTTATTAATATTGACTCTTCTAATATTTGTCTAAAATGTAATATTATTCATTTAAATTATAATTAAGATAGTCAAATTGTGTATGAAATTAATGATTGTTATTAATCAATATTTTTATAATGTAAAAACCAATCTTGAACAAATTGTACACGTTGTGATGGTGATGTTGAAAAATAAGCTAAAGCATTTGATGAATAATGATGATCAATTATATTCGGTAATTTATAATCTCTCCATTTATTATCATTCCAACAATAATTATATGCATACAATACATGTTTTAATAATTCATCTGACAATTGTTTATTTTCAGAATAAATAGGAGATAATGGATTTTGTTTTGGTAAAGTTGGATATCGTAAGTTTGGGAAAATATAAATACCTCTGAGAAAAAAAAAAGAGTAAATATGTATTTATAATTTTAATTTTTGAAAAAACTTTTACTTTTAATAGATCATAATATATTAAACAATGTACCGCTCAAAGTATATCAACTTAACATGAAAAGATTACATGTAGATATGTATGCCCTGGTACGGCCGAAAGTGGGGAGAGTCCGCTCTCCCTCTCGAAATGCTCTCACATGGCCATGCGTATATAGCCTCTGCCAGGGAAGTCCTACTCACTGCCTTCTCGCACCATGGGTGTTGTTTACAAAAATGAGAGGACGAAAAGCGAATGTCTGGCGCTTTAACCGGACCCCAAACCAATGGTGCACATGGGCTCCAGTATTCTGCGGGAACAAATGACGTATGAACCAATCGTTGGTCACCGGCTACCCTGGGACTGCATCTCCTTACGATGCTCCACAGCCTTGTGGATGAGACCTACAAGTCGAAGGCTCCGGGTTGGGCACCCGGACAGTATCACAGCCCTCACATATATTAAATGAGATCTGTGCGGCGCATATGTATTTGGTGCCTCCCTGTACCTATACTTATGTGTTAAAATAAATAAAATAAATAAGATATGTGTAGTAGGTTATGAAACAAATCAGTATGAAAGATCATAAATATTATCTGAATTGAGATAACATGGTTTAAACCCTTGATACACTTATTGGAACTGTGGGTTTTGCATCGATTTGGTCCGCTAAGTAATAGTAACATTTTTTTTGTTGTTGTTGAAAAACAATGAATTTTTTATTCAAAGTGTAAATGATTTCATTAACTAATAAAAATAACAAACATGGATAGATATCTAAAGTCACAACTGTACACTGGTAAGTATTAATGACGTGGAAATAGGAAAAAATGTAAGTCTTATAGTATCAATCGACTGGTTTTATCGCATTTTTAAATGTGTATGAATCAATTTGGAATTTACTGATTTTTGTCTTTACAAAACAATATGGTCTGATTGGTAAATTAATACAATGGATTAGAATTACCAGGGATGCCTATACCTCGTTTTGTCGTGTGAAAATTCACAAGACAATAAAAATTAGAATTCTAGAACAAATGGCGTTAGTAAACAAAGTTAAATTATGCCTACATTGCCTTATTTACATAAATAGACTACTTACCTAAACCCAAACCAACCGCCATAATATGGATGTAGACTGACTCCACTATAGGAACCAACTTTTTTCTCATGGGAATTCTTCTTTATTGAATCACTAGGTTGATGAAAATAAGCCATTCCTGATACGTGACCAGCTGTTTGTACATGAACATAGGGAAGTCGAGTAACTGGTTTGATGGCATAATCTGGTATCCATTCCGCATTATTTAACTTCATCGACTCATCAGGAGTTAGATTATGTTTTAATTTTTGAACAGAATTACTTAGTGCCTTTTGTAATCGAATAAAAACAGTCCAATCGAAGGGATCATCAGAGCCGGGGAGAAATCTAGATCCACAAAACCGAGTTTTCAAACATTTCAAAACATCATCCAGTGATTCTACTCCTGATTCTTTACACCAATCAAAAACAGTTGGTATAAATGTCTTTTCAAACATTTGTGGATTGCTTATCAAACAAATGCATAGACAGTCTTCATAGGGTGCTAGATCAGACGCAAGTCGGACCTTTGAACTGACATTAGCATCATACCAACCAGATAAAAATGGGGATATGTCAAAACCATATGGTGAGAGTTCTTCAGCCAACTCTTTTAAAATGCATTGTACAAGACTAGAGTCCTTTCCTACACTTGGATTATTCATTATTCTAAAAATGCATTGCAATTTGTAAAGTATTACACTTTATCACAATTATAATAGCTGCTATAGTGAACAGAGAGTGGGGATAACCAATCTATTGTTTAATGCGAAATTACAGAGTGCCTTCGTAAAATATAAAAGCCGTACATTTAATACATTTGCACATCTTTCTTTAGTTGTCCTTCACATACTTTATGGTTCTTTTAATTTCGTTGCTATTATAACTGCTGTTTTCATGCGTATTTTCTTTAATTCAGTCTTCCGCTGCCAGGCATTCTACTTCTAATTGGCGCTACATGCTACTTATATCTGTCAGCATAAGTGACATGCACCACACTAAGAGCGATTGCGACATGTATGCTTAAAAATACCAGACTTTGAGGAAGACTAACCACTGTCTATGGATTACAAAGAAGCACTAAACAGTTTACCAGTCACTTTTTATACTTTTTTTATTTGAAAAAGTTCTGTTCCATGTTTTAGAATGTATCATGGAGCATTGATTGTCTATACTTAAGGGAAACTAAGTGAGCAAAACATGTGTTGAGACGCTCCGGATCGAGTAACCACTTATTTCAGAGGATCACTACATGTAGACCAGTAAATCGCGACCGGTGTTAGAAAATAGAGTAGTATTGAAGTCGGTAATTCAATCTGTAGATGTATCCCGGACTATTCATTTTCGCTTGGAAGATCAATGGTACTTCTATGTATTGCTATAAGTATGTGATTTGGTCCTCATAACTTTTATTTACATCCGGTCACACAAAAATTTGGCAAAAAGCAGCCTAACACAATGTTAGATATCCGATAAAGCATTCTAAATAAAAGACTCAAAATTTTGGGTAAATTTGGCGGAAATCTAGGCAAAAAGTAGACAATTTGGCGGATATTTAGGCGAAAAGTGGACAATTTAGCAACAAGGTGGAAATCCGCATTATTTCCCCCGGGCAGGCGAAAAAGGCGACATTTTGGCACGTCTCCCTCTTTCTTTACCAAAGCATTTTCCCCTTTATTGGTTGATTGGGAAATGTAGGTCTAAATACACAATTTTGTTTTGAGAAAACTTATGGTCGGAGATATGTAGTCTATACTCGTCTTTTCAGTTCCAAAAGACCAATGATGCATGAAAAAAAAACGACCGAGTGCTGCACAAACTAAATCAGGCTTGTACAAAGTTGAGACAAATGCGGAATGTATGATCCTGTCCTGCGCCGTCACCAGTGCCTCTGGAATTCATCTGTGACCACTATCAAGAAGCACAAAATAATACGTTCAAGTTGATGCATCTGACCGACTGCAATAAACCTTAATTCCATTTATTCTTGACCATAAATAACTTGTCGCAACGCAAACTCCACAAAGCGCGCCAACTTTCAGTCTCACTTTGTTTCAGTTTGGAAAGGACAGGAGGCTTGTGTTAGTCCTGGCAATGGTGGTCTCTCAGTTGATCCAACTTTCCTTTGAAAGAGTCGATGGATGGAACCTCGATCACTTGCTGAGATAATGAATTCCACTCGTTGATGATTCGATAGTCCTAATGGCTGTGGACGGAATAGAAGAAGCTTTCGCTTAACGGGTATCGTCTAATAGCAACAGATCACCAAAACCGCCAACCAGGAACCTAGGTATATTAGCGATAAATAATAGTAAGATATAATCCTTAGTCCTTAAAAAGTAGGTCAAGTTTACTCCTAAAGGGCTCCTGGGATGTCTCTCGGACTTGCTCAGCAGGCAGCTAATTCCAGCATTTGACAACTCTTAAGGAGTAGAAGGTGTGTCTACAGTCCGTTCTACTATGTTGTGTCTCCAATTTCTGGGTGTTACCCCTTATGTTAGTACTGGGACTACGCTTAAGTAGGTGCTTAAGAGGATGTCCAGAAGTTTTTGATGGAGTTTTGTTCTCCATCAAAATCATCCACCTGAGCTACAAATCTTCTCCACCATCTCATGTTCAGAAGTGTTAAGGATACTGTAAGCCAGTAGGAGGTCACCTGTAAGACGCCTATACTCTAATGGATAAAGGTCAAGTGATTGGAGGCACTCTTCATAAGGCTTGAATTTGAGTCCCCGAACTGATTTCGTGGCTCGCCGTTGGATACGCTCTAGAGTGTCCTATTCCTTTTGGAGTGTGGCAGGAAATACTATGTTTCGTACTCCAAATGGGGACGAATGAAACTGTTGAAGATTATGTGGAAAGTTCTCCCGTCAAACTGACCAAAAATGCGCTTCAATGTTGCCAGTGCAAGGTTGCTCGAAAGACATTTTCGTCACAGCTAGCGTAGGACATTAAATCGTAGGGCACAAGCACTCCGAAATCTTTTTCGACTCGGGATACTACTAGCGAGCAGTTTCTTAAGTTGTAACTGTGGTCTGAGACATGTCGTAGATGAACTACTTCACCCGTTGAAGTGTGAAACTTGAGTCGATTGTGATCTGCCCAACTTCGAGGTCGAGTCAGATCCTCCTAAAGTGCTTGTATATCGACTTGATTGCGTATCTCTCTCCAAACTTTCACGTCATCGGCAAAAAGTAGTCAGTCTGACATTACCTGTTGAGGAAGATCATTTATACAAATCAAGAGGAGAAGAGTTCCTAGTACTGAACCTTAGGGGACCACACTAGGAGATTCCATAGCGTGTGAGAAATTGAAGTTTACCATGACCATAAAATTTCGATTTTTTAGATATGAGGAGAGCCAATCAATAAAAGATTATTTGAAACCCATTCGTTCGAGCTTATAGATAAGACATATATAGGTGACTCTATCGAAAGTTTTCTAGAAGTCAAGGTAAATAACGTCAATCTTTCCCTTGCGATCAGCGATGCTTGTCCATCTGTCCACCACAGTCGGCAGGTTGGTCATACAAGAGTAACCCTTCCTGAAACCATGCTGTTAGGGTGAGAAGAAATTTAAGGACAGTAAATAGTCATGTATACCATCGCATATCAGGAACTCCATTATTTTTGAAGGTAAAGAGAGCAGAGCCACCGGTCTGTATTTTGAAGTTTCGCTGCGTCGACCTCCTTTGAAAATTGGTGTGATATGAGCCAGCTTCCAAATATCCGGTAGTTTACCTCGACTTAGCGAGTGTGAGAACATCACACTAAGCGGTGTTGCCAGGATTGAAGCTGCTTCCCTCAGTATAGCAGAATGGACCATATCTGGGCCAGGAGAAGTGTCTGTTCTTAGATGCTGCAGTTTTCGGAACACTAAGTCAGCGCTCAGGTTCACTTCGGAAAGTCCTGTACCGTTGCAGATGAGGCTGTCATCAGTGTAGTTGATGTGTGTCGGTTGAAATGTCCGGGAGCAGTGCTGAGCCAAAAGGTTAGCGGCGTCACCGTCATTATCTGTCGGGCCGTTAGGACCTAGCAGTTGGAAAACTCCAGTTTTGGCTTGATAAGGAGAGGCTGCATAACGGAATAAGCTTTTCAGATTGGAAATAAATTTATCCATAAGCTTTAACTGGTACTGAAGCCTGTCTTCCCTTATAGCCTTCGTACATATGTTCCTTATATGTTTGTAATGCCTGTACTCGCTGTTGTTGTCAGTTCGTTTGTATTCTGCCCAACAGTGCCTTTTGCGGCTTAGCAGGCGAAGAGTGCGGTTCCTGATGATTTTAGGTTGCTTGTGGCTTTTGGGGACCGTCTGGGGGACTGTCTGCTTTGTAGCACATGAGAGCGTATGCAGTAGGAAGTCCCAATGAGCATCCACATCAAGTTGAGGGTGGACATCCAAATCCACCTGTTGTAGATAGTCCTGTAGAGCAGACACATTCGGCCGTTTAAAATTCCAGCGCTTGTTGTTGTTGGGATATCTTAGCTCAGTTTTGCTGACAAAACTGGAGGCTATAACGGCGTGATCGCTTTTCCCTGGGGGATTAGGAGTTGAGAGGTTGTCAACTAGAAATTCCTCGTCTGTAAAAACAGTCTAAGTGCAACGGTGTATGACTGTTCCTTTAACGAGTTGCCGACTTCACATTTTCGTATAATCTCAGATCCTCAATGAGGTTGAAGAACCGAACTTCAGTTGAGTTTTCACCTCCAATAAACGTATGTTCTGCGAAATTAGTCTAGGTGGATTGAAGTCCTCTAGAATCAAGATATGAGCGAAACCGAGACGCGTAGAGTGGGATAGTCCTTCCAGTATACGACTGTCATACTCAATTTCGGCAGTGGGCTTCCTATATAGGACTCCGACTAGTCACCTCGAAGTAGTAGACAATCTTACAGAGCACAATATGGAATCCTCAAAATTGTTAAACTCATGATTGTGAACTTGGCGTACCTCCAAGCCAGATCGTATGTATACGTCTACCTCACCCCCAATTCCTGTTTTTCTGTCATTGCGAAATAAAGACACCCCAGGTATTGCTAGCTCCTGGTCCGAAAACTGAGAAGATATCTAAGTTTCACATATTCCGATCAGATGAACCTTATTAGCATTGCTGAATCACGTAGCTCATCAATTTGGTTGGTAAACCCGCGGCGTTCATGTATAAGCAGTTACTGCTTTCAATTTGAAACACATGAGCTTCGTGTTTGTCTGTATGAGCCTTACGTAAATGGACAGATAGCCTACCTATATAAGATTTTCCGAATCGGTAGGCCCTGTCCTTTACACGTTTTTTTTATCATCAAGACAGTTCACAAATGAAATGATCAGCTCCAGCTTGCCTTTGTACTGGATCCTGGCATCATTTGGCCTGCCCGGCTGCATACGGATCCCAGTTGGCAACCGGCGTCTGTTGGCTCGAAATGCTTCCAGATTCGCAGCCGCCATATGGGAGGATGGGAAAGTTATCCTCATTAGTCGGGGTCTAGAATCACCGTCCTTCTTGGTTAGTCTCGTCGCACGTTGAGTCAGTTTTTTTTTGAGCCTCAATGACTGTTTGATGAATTTGTGGTGGTATTGGGCCCTACCACTAGACAATATTGGGAAATAGTCATTCAAGATTTAACGCGGCGAAATACAGAAGAATGGAGAAGGCGGGGATAATAAT